TCATAGAAACTGCCAAACTAAAATAGCAGACGGATTCACAACAGAAAATAAACAAGGAAGATACAGATCAATCTGAAAACAAAAAATAAAATGGCTGTAGTAAGTCTTCATATATCAATAATCACCCTAAATGGACAGAACTCATCAATCAAAAGGCACAGAGTAGTGGGATAGAGTAACAAAACAAGATCCAGCTATATGTTGTCTGCAAGAGCCTCATCTCAGCTCTAAAGACAAATATAGGCCAAAAGCAAAGGAGTAGAAAATGATATTCCTAGCAAATGGCACCCAGAGATTTGCAGGTATAGTCTTCTTTATAGCAAACAAAATAGATTTCATGATAAAAAGGTACCAAGGTTACAAAGATGGACATTTTATAATGATACAAGGGACAATTCATCAAGAAGACATAATACATCAATATGTATGCACCCAACCTGGGAGCACTTAAATATGTAAAGCAATTACTAACAGACCTAGAGGGAGACACTGACAAAAATATAATTACAGTAGGGGATCTGGATAGCCCACTCACAGCAATGGATAGATCATTGAGACAGAAAGTCAATAAAAAAATATAAACCTTAAATGACACATTAGACTACTGGATTTAATGGATATATAGAATTTTCCATCCCCAAATGACAGACTACACATTCTTTTCAAGTGCACATGGAACATTTTCATATGCTTGGGCACAAAACTAGTCTCAATAAATTTAAGAAGATTGAAATCATGCCAAACCTATTTTCTGACCAAACAGTATGAAACTGAAAATTAACTTCAAGAAGAAAGCTGGAAAACAACAAATATATGGAGATTAAAACGCTATTGATCAACTGGTCAAAGAAGAAATAAGAGATCAAAAGAGTCATAGACACAACTGAAAATAAATATAAGACATACCAAAATTTTAGGGATGCAGCAAAAGGGGTACAAAGAGACAAGTTTATAGGCCTCCCTCAAGAAATAAGAAACATCCCAAATAAACAACCTTACACCTGAAAAAGTAATAAAAGGAAAACAAATAAAGCTAAAAGACAGTAGAATGAAGGAAATAAAAATCAGAGTGGAAGTAAATGAGATAGAGAACAAAAAGACAACAGAAAAAAATAATAGGCAAGGTGGCGTGGCAGGGATGGGAGAAAGTGGTGAAGGGTTAAATTTAAAGATGGACAAACTAGTAGATGGTCCCTGGGATGGGAGCATGGCATAGGGAATGCGGTCAGCAGTAATGTAATGGCTATGTGTAGAGCCAGAGGGAAGATAATCAGTACGATTGTTTCATTAACTATATAAATGTCTAACCAATGTACCGTATACTTGAAACTAATAATAAAATAAATTAAAATGCTAAAGAAAATGATACCTCAATAAAGCTATTAAAGAAAAAAAACCAGCAAGCTGGTTATTTTAATGATAAACAAAATGGACAACCGCCGGCTAGCCTCACTAAGGGGAAAAAGACAGAAGATGCAAATAAAATCAGAAATAATGAAGAACAATTACAATGGATACCACAGAAGTACAAAGGGTTATACAAGAATACAGATTCGATAACCTACAAAAAATAGGCAAATTCTTAGACATATATATCCTTCTTAGATTGAATCATGAAGAATTGGGAAACCTATAATACTGATCACTAGTAAAGAAATTGAAATAGTAACTGAAAACCTCCCAAAAAGCAAAAGTCCAGGACCAGATGGCTTCACTGGTGAATTCTACAAAACATTCAAAAGAAATTTCATACCATTCTTTCTCAACCTTTTTCAAAAAATGGAAGAGGAGGAAACGCTTCCTAACTCATTTACAAGGCCACCCTGTCAAGGACATCACAAAAAAAGAAAATTATAGGCCAATATCTCTGATGAAAATAGATGCAAAAATCTTAAACAAAATACAAGCATATCAAATACAACAATACCTTAAAAGGATCATACAAATATGACCAAGTGGGATTCATTCCAGGGATGTAAGGATGGTTCCACCTCTGCAAATCAATCAATGTGATACACCACATTACCAAAATAAAAGATAAAAATTGTATAATATCCTTAAATGCAGAAAAAATATTTGACAAGATATAACATCCATTTATGACAAAAAACGTTCAATAAAATGGGTATAGAAGGAAAGTACCTCAAACACAATAAAGGCCGTACATGACAACCTCTCAGCTGACGTCATATCCAATGGTGAAAAACTAAGATCAAGAACAAGACAAGGATGCCCACTCTTGCCACTGTGATTTGACATTGCACTAGAAGTCCTAGCCAGAGATATAGGCAATAAAAAGAAATCAATGGCATCCTAACTGGGAATGAAGAAGTTGAATTGTCACTCTTTGCAGATGACATGATTCTATATATAGAAATCCCTAAAGACTCCACCAAAAACAAAACAAAACAAAACAAAAAACTATTACAAACAATAAACAAATACAGTAAAGTTGCAGGATACAAAATCAATATACAAAAATCTGTTGCATTCTTATATAATAACAATGAAATATCAAGAGAAATGAAGAAAACAATCCCATTTACAATTGCAAAAAAAGAATAAAATACCTAAAAAGAAAACTTAATAAAAGAGGTGAAGGACCTATACACTGAAAACTACAAGACATTGTTGAAAAAAATTAAAAGACAAAGAAATGGAAAGATATTTCATGTTCATGGATTGGAAGAATTAAAATTGTTAAAATGGCCATATTACCTAAAACAATATACAGATTTAATGAAATCTTTATCAAAATCCCAATGGCATTTTTAACAAAAATAGAACAAAAAAACCTTCAAATTTGTATGGAGCCACAAAAGACTCTGAATAGCTAAAGCAATGCTTTAGTTCTTTTGAGAAAAAAAGAACAAAGCTAAGAGTATCATACTCCCTGACTTCAAGTTATACTACAAAGCTACATAATCAAAACATGGTATTATCTAAAAAACATGTACACAGACCAATGGAACAGAATTGAGAGCCCAGAAATAAACCCACATATATATGGGCAACTCATTTCAATAACAGAGCCAAAAATATACAATGGAAAAAAGGAAGTCTCTTCAATAGATAGTTCTGGGAAAACTGGAAAGTCATGTGCAAAAGAATAAAACTGAGCTTCTATCTGACACCATACAGAAGAATTAACTCTAAATGTATTAAAGACTGAAACAATAAAGTACATAGAAGAAAAGACAGGCATTAAATTATGGACTTTGGTCTCATAGGGGTTTTTGTGAACTTGAGCCCAAAGGCAGGGAAGTAATAGCGAAAGTATATTAATGGGAATACTAAAAAGCTTCTGCACAGCAAAAGAAACCATCAAGAAAACAAAAACACAACCAATCAAATGTGAGATGTTTACAAATGATACTTTCAAAAAGAGACAAATATCTAAAATATATAAAGACCTAATACAACTCAACAACAAAAACACAAACAATCTGATTAAAAAATGAGCAGGGGACCTGAATAGACCACTTATCCAAAGAAAACATACAGATGGCAACAGACATATGAAAAGATGCTCAAATTCACCAGCTACAAGGTAAATGCAAATGAAAACCATGAGATACCACAACACACGTGTTAGAATGGCTATTATTAATAAGACAAGAAATATCAATAAGACAAGTGTTAGAGAGAATGTGAAGAAAAGGGAACTCTCATACAGTGCTGGTGGAAATGTAAATTGTTGTAGTCACTATGGAAAACTGTGGTGGTTCCTCAAATAATTAAGAATAAAGCTACCATATGACTCAGCAATCCATCTTCTGGGTACCTACCTGAAAAATTTGAAAACACTTGTGAAGATATATGTACCCTATGTTCACTGCAACATTATTTACAATAGCCGAGACATGTAAACAACCTATGTCCTTTGACTGATGAATGGATAAAATGTAGAATGTAACCGACTTCATGGAAGCACAGCCCACTGGCCTGCACCTTGTCCCTACGTTGTATGCCTCCCACCTCCTGACTCTGAGCTTTCTTGTTGCCACTGACACGTGAGAAACGGAAGGACCTGCCTACATAGGAATAATCCAGGATAATGGGGGATACTAGCCATCGGAGGGGAGACTTTTTACCCAGTCCTGGGAGACAGGAGCCGGTAGACCATCCCCTCTCTTCCTTCCCCTTGACAAACTACCATAAGAGGCAGCAGTTCACACAGTTTTTATGAGGCTTTTCGAGAACTAGCAACCAGTTGTTCCCGATACCAAGCGTGGTCAGGCTGGTAATGCACCACGTCATATTTGATTCCCCTTTCTTTGCCTCCTTCCTTTTTGTCTATCACGCCGCTTCCCTGACGTTATATTTCCTAATAAATTGTTCGATTTTGCCTCAAGACTCTTCTAGAGAACCCAGGATAGGGCAAGTCAGAGTCAAGGCTGAATCTGTCTATGGAAAAATGTTTTTTTTTCAGTATCACTGCTAGTTTCATTTATACGATAAATAAACTTTGAAGAATAATAAATCTTTCCCTCATTTACAGTTTAATTATTTTATTTGTCCATCAAATGGGCTGGCCACCTGGCAAACTGATTTGTGGGTTTACAAGAGACCTGAAATTCACTAAATTAGGCGAAGGCTCAAACTTGCAGGCACGTAAGATTCCCATTTGCTCTAAGAAAAGCCAGAGGATCTAAGATCTTCAGGCCCCAATTGCCTTTCCTGAGGCTTTGTGCCCCTGGGATAATTTTGGTATTTGATCTTTTCTGTTTTGAGTTTCTTTGATCTTTGTGTCTCCTGAACTCAAGACAGTAAACACTGATCACCATGTCAGCTACAGGTCAACTTCTAGCAGACGTAGAGGTATATTAGACAGCAGAAGGATACTAGAACTAAACTAGACTACTAGAGGTAAAACACACTGTAAATCAATGGATACACTGAACCTTTACAATGAACATATATTTCTTCTGAAAGCAAAAAGAAAACAAATGCTTTTTTTAAGACTAAAATAAATTGAAGAGAACATAACTGACTCTTACCAGGTCCCAGTTTCCAGTGGCCCAGTGACAACAAGGATGCCTGTTGCAGGGTGCAGTAGATGTGGGCCTTTTTGCCCAATCGCAGAGGCCTCTCGGACAAGTCACTCCTCTCTCCTGAACTCCGCCTCCACAGGACCTGGAACACTGATATACAGCAAGGACGAGGTTAGGTAAAAATCCCATGGTGACATCTGCAGTGATAAGGAAAGAATTTTCACTATCACTTGTGTTCAGTGTTAAGAATATTAGTATCTCTACTGTGATCTGGAGCATCTGTGCCAGGTTCCTTCCAATGACCACTCGGTCATTTCAAACGGCAATGGTAAAAGAAGAATTCAAGAGAAGGAAGGAGATTGCTAAAGGAAATTCTGACGAGAAAGAGAAAAAAATCGGAAGATGACAAACAGTTCAATGTCAAATACGTCAGACGGAAGGAATTCTGCTTAAAAATCTAAATGAGTCATCATTCCAGAACAGACATTATGTTATCTGTATTTTGTCTCCTGAGATGAGTGTCTAGAAACCAAAATGTAAAATATAGATGTTTTTACTATGATTAGCTCTGACAGCCTAAACAGAGAGCATACGTTTGCAATACAATTTTTTTTCATGTCTTGTTACAATGAGGTTCGGTCTTCCTTTCCTACTACATAAAGCTGAGAGTTTAAATTTGCCCACATTCAGAATAGAGAAATTGGTAAGCTTGCGCAGAGTTCTGATGCACTGGCTTAATGCTCACAACATAAATCTGAAATGACAGGTTGTATTCCTGAAGGAATGCAATTCTAAAATGTGTCAGGCTTTTTGCTCACTAGAATGATTTTATAAGACATATTGTCTCATTTTCCTGAGGTTTCTAGGAAGAAATAATTCACCAAGGATCTTGAAAGGCACTTTGAGTACCTTGAAAAATCTTAGTGCTTTGAAAAATCTTAATTACGGCATTGTAACAACAAAGCAATTATGGTTGTCAACATCTTGCACATCACAAAAGGCCCTTGTGTTTGGTGGTACCATAGAAAACAGGGAAATGATATCCAATTAACCCTTTCTGCTCAATAAACGAATTAATCTATTGCTTTCACAATATTCCAACTCTGAGAGTTAACATTGGATTTTCCCTCCATTTATTAGCTCTGTTATTATCCACATATTAGGAGAGAAGGAAAGGAATCCCACCTTTGGGATCCTTGGACGTACCTACACACGTGCATATGGATTGGGGTCACCTGGCCAAGTAACCGCCAGGAAACAGGGATGAAGACATAAATCAGTGGTTCTCAAGCTGTGGTCCCCCAGCGTCAGCATCTGCTGGGTACTTGTTAGAAATGCAAAATTTCACACCCTACCCCAGACCTCTGAATTGGATGCTCTGCAGCGGGTGGTGGGGTGGGAGGGTCCATCTCTGTGTTAATAAACCCTCCAAGTGATTCTGAAGCACGCTAAAGTTTGAGAACCACTGGAGCGGACACATTTCTAGAGCTGAAATGCATCTTCCGTTGCAAACAATCTGGGCTGGCTGACATGCACTGAAGGGGCCCAGAACATTCCCACAATAGGATTAGACAGTATGTGTAGACAGGGCAGCATCATGACGACTCAGGTAAAGCACCTAAAGGTGTCTAGTCCATCGACAGCCCCAAGGAAATACTCAACTGAGTTTGTGGAAAGTATCTGACCACTACCGCCAGCCTGACTGCAGAAGCTAGGAAAGGCATGTGAGGCTCCTTCCTAAATGGCTCTCATCAAAGTAGTCCATGTACATTTCCCCAGCAGAGACCCTCACACCTCTGTACATCCACTGGAAGACTAGGTTCTAATAAAACACTGAACTGTCACAGCTGAAACCACACAATATCGTCTTCAAGTTGTTGACCTGGTCAGCCTCCCCTACACAGTATTGGGTCACTGAGTAGAGGCCAGTCATTGGCACGATGCAGGTGTGGTCTTCCCTGACTTCTAGACGCACGTGGTGACAGGCATTCACGTTGGCCTTGTTGTGTGGATGGTGTACCAGGGGGTCGTACCTGGCTCCAGGGCTCCACCCGCCACTCCTCGCAGGGTTCCATGTTACAGCTCATGCTCAGCGGGGGAGGAACGCCGGCCAGGAACTGGCAGTGAAACGGCCTCAGGCTCCGGTGGTCCCGGCTGTCCACACACTGAATCTCCCGCATCTGGAAGCCCCCACTGCAGTTCCTGGAGCACTGTATGGAGTGAGAGAAAAGGGGAGACCCGAGACCCTGGTGTCAGGCCTTCGATTCCCTGATTCCTGGGGGGTTCCACAAAGCACTGTGAAGTTCCAGGCTTGCAGTCATGAAGAAGAATTAGTTCTAGTTCAGTGAAATGTTTTCCCTCACATGCCATAGAGAGGGAGTCACTAAAGCAGATCCTGGAGATGGGGCTGCTGGTGTCAGAAAACGCAGGTGTGGACGTGTGAGGGTTTGATGTCTGACAGAACTGGGGGCACAGTCCAGTTCTGTCACTCACTTGTCCTGAGCCCTTGGGCAAGTCACAGAAACACTGAGTCTCATACCTGTAATCTGAGATAACTGTTACCTCATGGGGCTGTCATGAAGATTATAGACAATGGGTCTGGGGGCCCTGCAGGAACAGCGTCTGTCTCAGTGGGCGCACGTTCCCTTAGATGTCTGTATTCATTCCTGGTGAACAGGACTATCCATAAGGGGACCTCTCTGCCAAGCCACAGCCATCTCTCCCTCAGAATCCTGATAAAAACCTGGTTTTTCCATGCCTCATGCCTCTGAAAGCAAGACAGGGTATGTGTTCTCAAGTGAAGGGCCTATGTGAGGGAAATATACTGGATAACTGCTGAGCGGTTTGATTCGTGGGAGTGAGCAAACCCTGTCCTTGTCCCCACCACCCATTCTTCCTCCTACAGCTGCCACCGCCTGCCTCCATTACTGAGTTTTCTCAGCACATGCCCACAGAAAGCCGTGACAAAGGGCCCCCTCACTCCTTCTCTTCACATGTGCTCACATCTGTGTAGCAGCTGCTTCATCCTGCTCTGTCTCAGGAAAAGACATGGCTTACCTGTAGGACTGCTAATGTCCTTAAGAGCATAATAAATATGACAAGCCATGGTCACCTGAAATCAGGGTTACGAGGCCTATTCTGGCCTACTTCTTTTAGTCTCTGATCTCTTGAGTTTTGGAAGTTACTCCACCCTCTACCCACTTAGATTTTCTTTGATCATAACTTGAGCCTCTAAGACTTGGTCTGTAGCCTGTTTATAATGCTGCTCCCCTCCAAATCCCTTCCGCTTGTCTTGCCTCTGCATCCTAGTCTCTCATGGCCAGTCCTGGCCTGGCTGGTCTTGTCACTGCCCATGTTCAGGTGAGGACCTGTGGCAGGTGGGATCGGGGCAGACCCCTGAGCTTCCCAGCCTTTCTCCCCCAGATTCTCCTTGGGTCAATAATACGTTCTTGTGGTCTTATGTCCTGAATGTTCCTCCCTCCACCCTTCGCATTACCTGCCAGCCGCTGCTCTCTCTTTAGCTCTCAGAGAGGCCTTCCTTAAATATCTTATCCAAAGGAGGTTCTCCATGTTATTTACCTCAGCTCCTTCTTGGTTTCTGTCACAGGGACTTGAAATGTGGAACGGCTTTTATTTATTCTGTCCATTCTTTCCATTAGACTCTCACTGTCATCAAGTTGAAACCGTATCTGCCCCGGTCATCATTGTGTCCCAAGCATTTAGCATGATGCCAGGCAGAGCAGAGATGGTCCACACGGACATTTTGAACGAATATATAAATTCTGAAGACAGGGTGACTCAGTTGGTCACCACAGGAATGAAGAATATCTTTCTTTATCCTCTTAATTCTTCTTTCGACTATTTTATTGCAGTCTTGGCTGAGAAAATACACCCTCCAGAAAGTATGTCATAGTTGCAGGTATGTTTTCATCGGGCCTCCTCTCTACACAGTAAAAGATCATACTCTCTTTCTGGCCATGGCTATGGTGGAATACTCACAATCATAGAGCAATGGTTCAGAAAAGAAAATTCCTCATAACCTTTCAGTAGAGGTAGATTTCAAAACACCATCCCCCTCTGGCCCCTGGCAGGCTGCACACAATCAACTGACTTTAAACCTTGGGCTGCAACATAGAAAGATATGGATGGGCCTGTGCGATAAACTAACAGATCGATGCTCTTCCATAACCAAGAGTGTTTAGCTTCTCAGAAATAAGCAACACTTGAAAGACAGCCCCCAACCCAAACAAATAAAAGACTTCATTTTCCTCCCAAAGTACACAGAGGAAAAAGTAACTGCCAACTTAAAATCAGGAACAGAAGAAATGAGGAAGCATGCTAATAATTTCTACATAAAGCAGCCATTTATTTGTCTGACAAAACAGACTTCTGGGAAACAGCATGTGGTTAAAACAAAAGGCCTCTTTATTTGGAAAAGGCAACTTTTTACAACGCGTAAGTGTAAAATGGAGTTTTATTTTCTTATTTTCCATTTGTTACCATAATCTGATATTCCTAAACTGAATTTTCAAATTGGCATTACCCTTTTGTCAGAGAGGGTTTTCCCATTCAATGGAAAATGCAGTTTATTAATAAGCTGAAGTTAATAATAAGGAAAGACACCCACTAAATCTGTAACTTTTCTATTCCATTTTGTAAAGGGCCTCTCATTCAGGGAAGTGGTGGAAAGTTAAATCATTCCATTTCTAATGCTATTTTGCCTTTGTGTGCTGAAGGTCAATTACTCTATTCATTTTCTTATTGCCTTACAGGAGGGTTATTTGTATTCATGTTTTCCTAACCTGTGGACCAGACTGAGGACAGGAGCCAGACTAATGAGAATAGAAATACAGGCTGATGCCCTGTTGTGAACGAACAGGCCTAATTGTTTTTCCAGTTACTGCATCAGTTTGTTTAACTGATAGAATCTGCAAACCAGATTGCTGTTAGAATGAAAAATACCCTTAGTTTACAGGAGCCACTGGCAGAGATAAAATGAAAACACAACCCTTTCTTCCTTGTGTTGCTTTTGATTTATGAAGTCATCCTGATAAAAACACTTTCCATGTTGCACTCATACAGCGTGTTCAGATGAGTACAGTGAAATTAACAAACATAGCATTAGGTCAGTAGACTTCGTTCATTTATGACCCTAACACCAAGTGCCTGTATAACAGTGATTAATCACTTCTCTAAGCCTCCATTTCTCCATTGGTATTAGAAGGAGGATAAACTAGATGATTGAACTATGCCAACATTCTAGAGTGGTATAAATGTATGAGGATCACTAGATTTGTACTGTTTTGATTTCAAAATACTTTCTTCTCTCCAAGTTGCACACCAAATACTAAATTAGGATTATTTCCTGCTCTTTCCTTATGCTAAACAGATTCATAAGACCCTTATGATCAAATAATTCATTCCAAGAATTCTAAGTTAACAGCACCCCAATTCATCCTTTTATCTGTTCCTCTCACCACACCCCCACTTCCTTTCCTCCCAGTGAATGGGCACTTGTTAAGTTCCAGGCTCTGTATTCCAATCTAGCTGCAGGGAAAAGTCACGTAAATGAGTAGAAGTACTAAAGCTTTTACGTCACAAGTTGTTCATGATCTAGTGAGGGCACAAAGGAAGAGGTGATCGATTTCACTGAAGAGGTCAGGAAAGGCTTGAATAAAGGACCAAAGCTTGAGCTGAGTCATAAGATGAGTAGATGCTCACTCAGCTGGTAAAATAGGGTGAGGATATTCGAGGTGGAGAGAGTGGCGTATACAGAGGCACGGTGCTGTGAAACCAGGCCTGTTTCAGAACAGTGGGTTGTTCAGAACGTTAGAGCAGAGGGTAGGAGTGGACAATGAGGGATGGGCAGGGGCCAGCATGGAGGGCCCCCTGGTCTGGATATCAGTCCTCAGCTAGAGTGGTCTTGGGTTCAAGCCTTCCCAAAGACCTGTTTAATTGCCATCCTTCTAACCATTTCTTTTTAGGGATTCCTTAATCTGAAACCCTCAGGGTGTCAAGAGAGGGTGACAGTTTAGAATATAACAAATTACATCAAGAGTAAAATAATGCAGTGATTTTCAGTATACGATCCACCTTCCTGCTACTCAATTTTTGCTTTCTGGGGGCAGAAGCGTCCCTATGTTTTGACTTCTGCATATTGGATTTTAATATACGTTTCTGGGAACATGTTTTTTATGAAAGTTGGGGACTGTCTCCATTTAGCAACAAAGCGTCTCTTTCCTTATTTAATTCATTTATAAAAATTCAAATCTAAAAAATGCAGCACTATCATAGACAATTGGAGATAAGAAGTAGAATCAGATAGAAGGACTAGCAATATATGCAAATGTATTAGCAAATATATGAAACCCAAGGCCATAAAGAAAAGACTGCCACTTTCTTTTATTTTCTCTCAAAGCTACAGATGATAGAGTCAACTACTGCGAAAATAAAGTTGCAAGATGGGAAGACAGAAAGTTCCAAGAAAAAAAGTAAACACATTTCTAATTCATTTAAGAAATAATCAAGATCTGTTAGACTTGACTAAGGGTAGTGTTCATTCTAAGTGAGGTAATAAAGGGGTTGTCAAGTCACCAGTTCACAAAACTCTAGCAGGTAGAGGCAAAATGTGTGTGGGAAAAGTGTGTGGGGCCATGGATGATGCATGGCTTTGGCATTAAGCCACCTGACTGAGGGTTTTCCAAGCTCATCTTTATCATGTGCTGCACTTCTTCCTTCACAAGAATCACTTTTTTCCCCCTCATACAAATTTTAATGTTCTCAAATTGACATGCATCTTTCAACTGACATAGATATTTATTACATAGTGTTTCTTTTCTTTCTGAAAAGCTGTAATTAAAAGTGATGGCTTCTTCTATGGCCATGCCACTCTGAACAAGCCCAATCCCGTCTGATTTCGGAAGCTAAGCAGAGTCGTGCTTGGTTAGTACTTGGATGGGAGACCACCTAGGAAGACCAAGTGCTGCAGGCATTAAAAAAAAAAAAAGTGATGGCTTTTTAAAACCGAGAGTATTTAGTACTACCTGCATGATCAAGTATTAGTTAGTTATTTAAACACTAAGCTTTCATTTCCTCAGTGAGAATTATAAAGACGTTCTGTATTGGGTGAAAATTAAATTGTTTATCTAAAGTTCTTGTGCAATGTCAGGCCTATGGTATATTTGGCAAATGCTAGAGCCCAAGATAAGTC